GCTAGAGAAGATGGCGTCTTCGCGGAAACTTGCAGTCTCGCCTGCGGGCTTCGGACAACGATCAGGGCGAAGCAAGATTGTTGGCATATTAGAGAAAGACAATGAAGCCGAGCGCATCGGCCGGTCCCTCTCAGGCCTAATGCGTTTCAGCGCCGAAGAGCTCGAAGCTGGCGAGGATGCTTCAGGATATGTTGTCAAGCTGCGCGTTTTGGACTTCTTGAACAGCTGTCTAGCTGCCGTGTCCCTCCGGCCGACCATAGCGCATATCCTTCTCGGCTTCTCATGTGGACCCAACACTGTCCGCGTTGGAGAGAACAGCCTCTGGTCAAACGGACAAGCCTTGTTCCACAGCATACTTCTTCTTGGGGTTCAGTATCCTGACAATGACGGCGAACAGTTCATAGCTTGGCGGTCTGCTCTTAAGACCCGATGCTGGGATGTTTTGCAGAAGCTCTGGCGGTCACCGCTGACGAGCGCGCTTGTGATGGAAGAGCTCCGTGACAACGAGCTGCTCTTTGTGGAGGCCCCCCAACTAACTCCCATTACCCTTGATATACCCTGGGACGGAATGTCACTTGCGCAAGGGCTCGAGGTCACGCCTAACGATTACTCTCCATTCTTCTCAGGACCACCAGCACTCGCCCTCCAGAGCTTCCTTCAAAGACGTGCTGCTTTCCTCGACTATGAGTCGAGAGAGCTGCGTTTGACAGTGAAAGAGAGCATGCCGACTATGAAGTCTAGGATCCAATCTGTCCTTCTCGGTACCACGATCCGGCCTGGCGAGGACGCAATGCCAAACCCGAACATCTTCGATCTATTCGACTTCATCGAGCTGACCTACCCTGAGCGCGCTCTGCCAGATCAACACAAGTTCTTCGAAGGTGTCAATCTGACCTCGTGTCAGGAAGAAAAAGAGGGTAGCACTCTCTACTCCTTGCCACTCCTGGAACAAGTCATCCGATTGAAGATGAAGTACTGGCGGAAGGAAGGAATACTGAATGATCAGGAGCAAGAAGAACAACTCGTTGAGCAAGCGGAATTGCTCATGGCTATCTTCGTGGACTGGAACCGTCGCACACAACTTCTCCGCTACCACAAGGACATTCTGCAGTCGTGGGTTCAAGTCGTCATGGTCGCGGTACACAGCTGCGACTTCGAGAACGGCGCGCGTAGTTCGTTTATCATGCAGACGCTACAAGTCATCCTACCAAAGCTTGAGCAGTCATACTCCTCCGACATCTTCACGGCTCTCCAGCTCGCCAGCCTAGCAGAGGCTCTCATCCAAAAGGTCGACTTTGAGTCAACAGCATTTGACAAGACTGGCGACTTTGCAAACGACCGCCTTTCTCAACTCTTCCGCGCCGCGCTCATTGGCATATACAGCCCCGTGTCCACCGCCGAACTGCGAGAGTACTGCTACCAAATCTGCTTCCGCTACATTCACGGCACCTTCAACAAAGCAACCCCGAACTCCCTCCTCGGCCGCCACACCCTCAGCGCCATCAAGAACTGCGGTACCAACATGCTCGAAGTAATCTGCGACGACGCCTACAGCGGCCAAGGAACCTGCAAAGTATCCGCTCTCCTCCTCCTCAACGCCTTCGTCTCCGCCGCAACACGCCAATCCTCCAAATACATCCTCGACAGTTTCGTATCACTAAACTTCGTCGGCGTTCTCGTCGACAACATCAAGCACATTCCCGAAGAACTTTCCGCCGCGGCCGCTCCCCTGGTCCCCGTCCTACTCTCTTACTACGACGCCAGTCTCGCCCTCCTCCTCCGCGTATGCCAGTCCCGGCTTGGCTCCGCCCATGTCCTCAACGCCGGTCTCTTCCCCGCCATCCGCGACTCGCAGCTCTTCTCCGTAGATCCGGATATCGGTCTTGAATTTGACGATCCCAACGCGCTACGCAAGTACTACGAGCTTATGCTAGCTGTGTTGCGTGTTATTAACGCTGCGGTCATTGCGCGGGGGAGGCAAAACGACCAAACGGTGTTCCAGGCGAGAGAGTTCTTGAAGGATAATAGACATAGCATGGTCAGTGTTTTCAAGAGGAGTGTCAATGTGGGTGTGGGGATGGGCGAGGAATTGCAGCAGGATATTGTGGATTTGGTGGATTGTTGGACGGTTTTGGTGGATGTTACGGGGTTTTTGCAGGTAACACTTCTTGACACGAAAGGCGACGAGGATGTTGATGCTAACACTTTGCAGTATGAGGATCAGTCGAGTGCGAAGAAGGTTAGGGTTAATATGTTCTCTTGATGAACATCACGCTTGGATGAATGAAGGTGGAAGGAGCGATCTCTTGCACGCTTGCTGGAACTGCGAAATTATATAGTAATAGAAGAATTATTCTAAACTCTTGTCGCTTCGTGTCCTCCACGCTTGCAGTATTGGTGTGGGTGGACACCACGATCATGAAGTAGTAAATAACATAATGTTGAACGTGATGCATCTAGACACTGACCCGCGAGACCTGGTCAGAACTCGGGCTCAGATTGCACCTCATACAGGGGAAAAACTGAACAGGCCTAGAGCCTACATCGACATTGGGTCATCTGCTTTGCGTGTTTCTATGTCAATGTAGGCTGTAACAATAAAACTGTAGGCTGCAGGTCTGTTCAGTTTTTCCCTAGGTTGACGTGACTGGACGTTGGTGTTGTGCCTTGCTTGGCATGCCATCCAGATCGGGAAAGTATCCAAAATCCGTCGATTGCGGGTGTCTGCATTGTTACCACAGGCCTCCGAGCGGTTACCCAGCCGAGGATATGATGCACTCACATTTCTTTCCCAAACTTCGTAATACTGGCCGAGGGCTACATCAGACTCAAGGGACACCTCTTGGTCATACCCAGTTTCTTGTGTACAGATCGTACTGCACGATGCGGCGCCTGTTGCAAAGGCCACCTCGCCGGTGTTTCTGATCGTACCGTGGTTGACTGACGCTGCGCTACCGACCAGGCAGCAATGCCACGTATCCCGCGTTGAATGTGAAATTATAACACAGACACTACTCCCTCACAATCGGCACAGTACGTACAGCTGCCCAGTCACACCTTCTCACGTCATCGACCCCAGCCAAGCTCGACGATGGCACAACACACACCTGTCGAATGCACGGGTGTTCGCCCTGTGAACACGACCACCCCCGACCCTACCGGTACTTCACTGCCACCCCTTCTCCGCCTACCCCGCGAACTCCGCGACCTCATTTACGAGGAGTATGTCCGCGTGGACGGTGGATACGTCTACAATCCCGAAACAAACAGACTTGCGCATGCAGACGGCTCGCCGATAGACTTGTCGCTACGTCGCGTCTGTCGACAGCTCGCATCGGAAGTCCAGGGCCTTGCGTTGAAGCTGAATACTATCACGTTCGAGACATGCTTTGCAGAGGCTTCACGAGAAGACGCAGGAATGCATCATTCCATCAATACCAAGATTGAACGTCGCAAGAGAGAAGTAATGAAGATGTTTGCTCCACAACTGTTCACCTCTGAGATGGCCAGAGCAGTAGCGGATGTCCACCCATGGTTTTCGCCAGTCATTAACGGATGGAGTCGACACTCCTTGCCTGATCTCAAGGCACTGACCATGCGAGGGGTATACTGTGGTGAAGCCCCTTCGTTATGGCGCGATTGCGTTCACGACGTGTTTCGTCAGATCTCGAAAAACCCCGAGCTCAATGCGACACTACTGGAAGAAAGCACGGCTAGGCCCCGACCCACCACCCTTTGGCCTCAGCCCTGGATTCCAGCCGATGGTCAACAGTTACTCGAACTGGCTGAGGCAGACCCGAAGCCCTGGCAGATTCTCAGCAGAGCTGAACGCGATAAGCTAGCTGCTGCAGCCCACGCTGAGCCAGCCACCCCGCACTACAAGTCACGAACAAAGTATACCTATTCCGCTGCTTCTGTAGCCATTCGCTTCCTTGGAGCACTGTCTCCTTCCAATCTTGCGGCTGTTCGACAGATCAAACTTCTAGAAACGCGCGAGACTGTAGCATTTCCAGAATGCCATGCGCGCGGTTTTATCCCGATATGTCAGCAATGCTCACAACTACGCATACATCGCTTCGCCAGTCTCTGGAGGAGTGTCTTTTCCGTTCCGCTCCTGCAGAAAGCCGACTACTGCTACGCCAACCAAGATGAGATGGATAGCTCAGTAATGAGCAGAGATCGACTAGCTGCTAAAGACATCACTCGTGAAGTGGGTAAATGGGCGATAGAAGCATCCATTCTACCTTCGCTTGGGATGCCGGAGGAATGCTTCACACTTGTTCTTGATGGTGAACCCACTCCTGCTCACACCGCCAAGCTCTTCCGGGTGGTCCAAGAAGAGATGGCTTTTCAGGACGCACTTGATCTTGCTTACAACATTGGCTCTCTGCCGTTGCCAACATGGCTTGACCGAAGAATACAGACCGGATACATGTACGAGGGTCTCCCGGACATCATTCGATCGCTTTCCATCGGCAGTCCACTAATACGCTGCAATTTCGATCCTGGTCAGCCTCAGGATGCTAGGAAGAAAATGGAAAAACGTCATGGATGGAACTTGAGCGACTGGACAGAATCGTGGAGCAGAAGTCGCGAGTATCAGACTGTGGATCCACTACCTCCATGGCATGAACTGCGATGGCAGTATGTGATAGTGTAATAGCGGTTCGAGCAATCGAACTACGGTGTGGAATCACGATATGGAGAGAAGCGATAATCGTGCGTTTGGTAATCCCTGGGTTTTCAACATCTTTTATGTACCTAGCTTTGCTTGACAGTCTTGAAACCCTAGTGTTCAACAATCTCTCATAATACAACCTAGTTGCGGGAGAACCTGTTCAAGAACATACTCATAACACTTCGAATACATGTTCCAGCCCATCGGTGTATCCCAGACCTTCAACTTCCACCGGCACTGAGTGGTGGCATCGGACACGACAGTCGCATCTCAGAGGACTAGCCTCAAGTTAGCATATACATACCCTTTACGGATGATGAACTTACAATTTGTCAGCAGGCATCGACATGATCGTTGATACCTTCGAAGCGATGTCGTAATCGAGAGTCCTCCGCGATACCGCCAAGATTCCCTCCCATGTTTCAACGTTGCTCTCTTTGAAGTAACCAGAGAAGGTCACCTTTGGCACATTCCTCAGGCGATCGAACGCCAACGTAAAGAACAGATCAACAAACTTCCTCTGACAGGAAGCTGTCTTGCAAAGCGTGTCATATACATGACGCCACGGGTCGTTGATGTGAAGAGTGCCGTCGCTAAACGGATTTTTGGGGATCTGGAAGTCGAAATGCAAGTGGTCAAGGTTTAGGTTAGTGAGAATATCGAGGGTAACTTCCCCAGACGAAGTACAAGGCTTGAATCCGCGCTTCCAACTGCTTCGGAAACCTAAGAGACGGAATAGCTGGCTGTTGCTCATGCTGAGTGCTAATCGACTGAGGGTGTTGAAGCCAGTCGTGGATCTCACCGACTGAAGTAGCGGGATAGATGTACCCATAGTGTGGAGACGGGTGTAGCGCTTAACGGTGGACTCCCAGAGCATCTTCTGGAACTCGAAGCTGAACTGCCGGCTGACCAGGAGAAGGCTCCTTATCCAATGTGAGTTTTTTCTTGACAGCCAATCAGTGGAAGTCACATCAGGACCCAGCCGTTGTGGTTTGCGGCATCCGTACGTGGGTTTGGTGACTTCGTAGGGTACATCAATGCCGATGTTCTTGGGCCAGCCAGCGGTTTGGAAGGTAAGACTTGCTAGCCCTTCAGGCTCGTTCTCCAGGGGTGCGACGTGAACGCACGTTTCGGACTTTTCAATTTCGCTCACACTCATGAGCGCGGGTAGTTCCTCATCTTCCGAGTCATAGATGATGGTCTCGTCGTCAACGGTACTACGTTCTCCTTGTGATCTGAGCAGCGCGTAGCATGGTTCGCTGCTGTTGTCGTTGACATAGCAGTTGCGGCACTCAACTTTTGCTCGTGGCCAGATAGCTGGTCCGATCAAAGTCTCGAGCACCGTGAATCGCAGTTCGGTGGGAAGTCTCATGTAGTCGAAAGCCTGCGTCATCAGATTTGTACGCTGAAGATAGAGGTGGTATTAGAACATACTTGGAAAGGTGTGCGCTCTTTAAGAGACTCATCTTGAACTGAGTAACTTCGAGGCGTATAGCGCTTGTCCCAAGTCTCATCCCATTCTAGGTACATGACGTTGGCTATGCTCCGTCGCTTTTCGTGTTCGCTATCCTGAGGAAGGAGGCATGAGGCACACTGCAGATTTGCAGACATGGTTGTTGAGAATATATTAGATTCACAACATTGCCACTGGGTAGTACTTGCGCCTGTGCTGTCTGGGAAAGGGGAGTCATCGCCTCGAGAGGTATGCCATCTATAGGTCCGCGAGTGACTTATACCGGATCCGGTATAGCGGCTTCATCGAGATAGTACTGAGATGGTCAGCTACCGCGCAAAAGGCGACATGCCGTCACTCGTATACATCGTCATCTTAGCATTTGCAGCAAAAAAAAGTGCATATTCATCACTGGCTGATGCGCAAGCATTCGACAGCGCCGTGGGAGCTTTCATGAAACCATGACGTACCGAGGTAAACCGTCAATAGTTTGTGCACGATAACGCTAGGCATGGGTTGCTAAAAGCCGTGGCGGGTTCCCGCTGCGAACTTCACCACGTCACCACCCGATCGTGGCTATCTCAACATCTGTTCGCGTCGCGTTCGCGCTTACTCGACACGGTCTTACTCGACAGCAGTTCCCTGGACTATCACGTGGCCATTGAGATCCTGAAGCTGTCGCAGCATCCCGCGTAACATCGGCGTTCGATATAATATCGCGACAGTCCTCCCGGCATTCATAACGCATCTGCAGTGAATGCGACTTCTTGTGCTCGATGATTGAGCCAAGACAAGCAACCGAAATGCCCGCTACGGAAGGTGCACCCTTGCCCAGCCATAATGATAGTGTCCAACCGCCCAACTCCATCGAACGGCCCGCCATCCTCCGTCTGCCACGCGAGCTTCGGGATCTCATTTATGAACATTACATTCGCATCGAAGGCGGTTACACATACGACTATGCATCGAACAAACTCCGAGAAGCCGATGGTCGTCCTGTCTCTATCGCCCTTACCGCGTCGTGTCGACAAATTGCTTCCGAGCTTCGTGGCCTTCCCTTCAGCTACAATGCAGTCACGTTCTCTACGTATTTCTCGGAGTCAACACGGAAAGATGCGGGCGTCTTTCATAGCACCGTGGAAAGCATCTCACTCGCGAAAAGAGGGTTAATACGGTATCTGATACCACTTCTGCTTACAGAAGACATGGCACAAGAAGCTAGTCAAGCTTTTCCACAATTTGAACACATCTTTGACGAGTGGGAGCCTGGAAGAAGCATCGACGCGCTACGCAATTGGGACTTTACTGGCGGTGAAGCCCGTTCCGTGTGGGAAGACTTCAAGCAGCTCATTTTAACTTTACTTTCAAAGCATCCCAGGTTCCTCCAAGTATTGGAGGCAGCCCCTGAACATTGCACAAGGCGTAAAGGATGTAAGGTCCCCGGGTTAAGAAATGCTTGCGTAGAACCCTGGTCAGTTCCCGATACTTTCGAAATGGAACGACTCGCGGACATTGTGAATGTTGAGCCTGAGCGGCCGGATTATTGGTCCAGTACCCGATACTGCTTTTCTGCAGTACATGCAGCTCTCCGCTTCCTACAATCGATTCCTGCAACGACCCGCGAAATGATACGCAAAGTCATTCTACTTGAGGACCGTCCATCTGTGGCGTATCCACAGTGTCATGGACGAGGCCTGATCCCCTTTTGCCAGGCACATAAGGAACTCTGCTTTGAGCGTGTCGTCGACCTGTGGAGAAACGCATTTCCCGTGTCAACCAGAGCAATGTACGACTACATTAGAAGAACTCAGGATGGCGACGATGCGAACACTATGAGAGATGATCGCTTGATCTCTGCGACAATCAGTGATGCCATAGGTTCTTGGATGACGGAAGCGCAAGCGCTGCAAGATCTTGGAACGCCAGAGGGGTCACATACCCTCGTATTCAACGGCGCACCTAATCCAGAACAAGCTTCACGTGCCTTTCAAGTGGTACAACGAGATGCTGCCTGGCAAGTAGCCCTAGATGTTGCATACACAAAAGGCACGCTTCCTCATCACTCGTGGTCAGAGCGGCGGCTTAAAACCGGGTATATCACCGAGTGCTTTCCAGATGTCGTCGCAAACCTTTCAAAAAAGGATGCGCCTATTCGATGCAACTTCAGCCTTGGTACCCCGTACAGCGCCAAGAAGCTGGGCCTAGATCATCGCGGATGGGATGATGATGATTGGGTGTCTCGTTGGAACTCTTATGAGCAGGCCAAATTCCAGACAGAGCCGCCACTCCCTCCTTGGCATATCCTGCGATGGGGCTATGTCCTTACAAGATGAAATGTCGCCATACATCTTAGGCGCTCACATCTCTTAGATTTCGTAAGCGTTGCGCAGATTTCAGATCTCACTGGATGGAAGTTTGCATCGCGTGGGCACCGTGGCAGTGCAACCACTGTTGGGCGTCTCTCTAGTCCCAGACTAGCACATCCAGGGACTGTGGCGTTGTATTCCCTCTCGTTAGCAAAGTATGGGAGCGGATGGCTTCTCCCAGGGTTCCTTTGATCTATATGCTAACGATTTGCGGTTGTCGCATCTCGATCTCACGCTCAGCATCCAATGTACGCACACCATTTCGGCGAATAGATATTAAGCAGGCCAACACATGAGACCTAGAAGGAACAGAATTGCCATTTTCATGTACGTTCGCCTGGACGGTTAGCACTATAGAACGAAATACGTTAGCTTAGTTGAGTCCGCCACATTGGTGAACCGGTGGCACTGATATTCGCAAACACGATGACTTTCAAGATGCTCGAGGGCGCAGCGCGGAATCAAGCCGTGTTGCGGGCAATGGCAACCTTTGGAACCATGACAGGCCCATAGGGTACTGTCTAGACACTAGTACCGATAAGGCAAAGTAGACCCACTGAACAATATTCGGCTCGGTACTGATTGTTGCTGCCTTCGCGCTAGGACACCTACCCTCTACCAACGAAGCTTCATCGATACGCGTCGCATGTTGTGTATTTCTGCGAATATTGCTTTTCGTCTACCATGTCGTCACGTGAAGGCATGTAACAGCATCAGCAACCAGTCGTTCTGATGGTTCTGGCTACCACGTTCGACCATCTAGGCAGCGACGATTGCTGTGCGATTGATGCACGACTAGGTGGGAACATGGTACACAAGTATTGCAACTCCGGCTATTAGAACTCAACGTGGCTTCAACGGCCTCTTGCCACTTATATACAGCAGACGTCGCTCCTACTTGCTTCCACTTCAACTTCTTCATCACGCTCAAGACAATCACACCACTACAGGATCATCATCCGGGTCTCGAAGCAATGATTTTTGAGTATTTGTTCAAGCTCATTAGGGCATTTCTATTAGCTTCGATGAGAATTATTCTGTTCGATCTCATCAGGAGAGTTCTTTTTGCTCTTATCGGGAGATTTCTGTTCACCCGCGCTGAACGGCGCCGGCTTGCGCACTACAGGGAATCCAAATACAACCGCCTCAGAAGACATTGGTACGATCTCGTCAACGGACCTCGGCCCTTTTCCATCAGGAGACTGTTCTTCAATGCTCCACCTACCATAATCACGCGCTGTACGACCATGGCCATGGCTTCCCCAAGTCGCCCAACGCACATGCAACTACAGTCACCTCTCTTCCGAATACCGCGGGAGCTACGGGATCAGATCTATGGCCATTATCTAATCTGCGAAACGGGCCTTGAATACGATTTCAGCAAGAACAAACTTACTCGGACGGACGGCGAACACATCGATCTATCACTGACGTACACATGCCGCGAGGCCGCAGCTGAGCTGCACGGTCTGGCTCTTCGACTCAATCAGATCACCTTTCGTACCGCATGTCCGGGCTCATCAAGATTTAACAGAGGGAAGTTTGACGTTGGTATGAGAATATTGAACAGTAAGAAGGAATATTTACTCGACGAGATAGCTCAGTCTTGCTTGACGGACGAGATGGAGAAAAAGATAACTCTTGTTTATCCACAGTTTGCCCCTATTGTGCGGAAGTGGAGACTGGGAGGCCGAATCGGGCAGACGCTCCGCGGCGACTTCACCTTTCGCGAGCCACCTTCCGTATATCGCGACTTCGTTCATTGCACTTTAAAAATCTTGGAGAACAGCCCACACTTCAGCATGCCTTCTCATCTGTTGAGTTTGCCGCACCTCAAGCCTTGGCAATACCCGGATGATGAAGCTCTCGAGGAGATTCTCAGCATCACATTCGCTAGAGAAGCACGTCCTAATGTCCATAATATTTCACGGCCTGTGTATTGGGACGGCCGCGGAGTCATCGTCTCCGCTGCTGCTTGCGCCATCCAGTTCTTGAGCTCTCTTCCAAGGTCGATACGCTCAGAACTCAGGCGAATCGACCTAATCGAAGACCGCAAGTCTGTATCATACCCGGAGTGTCATGCGAGAGGTCTGATTCCATTCTGTCAGGAAAACGAAAAACTGCGTATTCACAGCCGTGTCGATGTCTGGTGGAATCTACTTTGGGAGCATCATTGGGGCAAGGTGAAAGTACACTCAAGGGATATATCGCGAACTTTGGCAAAGTGGATGGGCGAAACGATGGCCCTACCTCTTTTGGGTATGCCTAGTGAGGCATTCATGATGACATTTGAGTGTGACTCCGCGCCGGAAAAAGCCACCGAGGTTTTTGATGTCCTACAGCGAGATGCTGCATGGCAGGTTGCTCTAGATTTGAGCTACGAACGCCAACACCTACCAACCCCTTCATGGAATGATCGCAGGCGGACCACTGGGCACATCTCCGACGACTTTCCCCAGATTTTGAAAAACATAGTCAACAATGACTCTTTCATACGTTGCGACTTCTTCCCGGGAGAACCTCACGACCCGGAAATGATTGTCAACCAGCATATGGGTAAGTCACTCGACGAATGGGAAGAGCTCTGGCGTTTTCACACGCCACTGAAGATCTCAATGCCTTCGAATAGGCCATCGTGGTGCACCACGCGCTAATTTCACTATCCATGCGGCGGCACAAAGTGAATCGACAATGTTGATGCAGTTCTGACACGTCATTGCCTCGTGCTTAGTGGTACTCGAACGGGTTGCATGGTCGCAAGAGCACACGTCCTTTCAATAGTCTTGTCCAAG